TACTTCCTAATATTATGTTTGATAAAACTAGCTAGAGTATTTGGTAAAACATAGTAAACTAGTTATAATTTATTTTGTTAGTGTATAAACATTATATATGTATATAAACTTTCTTGGGTAGCTTATCAAATAAATCCGATGAAATTTTTATTTCAATTAGCTTATAGATAATTTTACCATACTTTTATCATATCAACTTGCTTTTCAGCAATAAACTATAAGCTAGTTCAAAATTCACTTACAAGCTATCAGTTAGCTTACTAACTATATCTACTAAACATAGCATTACAATTGAATTTCGTACTTATGGTTGATCGTTGAAAAACTATCTGTTATAATAAAAATATATGGTAAAGTTAGCTAACAAGTGAGCTGAAATAAATTTTTCAACCATCTTCTGAAAACTAGTTAAAGAAGCCTATGAGATAAGTTTTAACTTTTAAAAAAACTCGTTCTATCAAACCAAACTTACTTGAATACAAGAAACTTATATATTAGTTATAAGCTATAAATTTAGTTTATGGTACTTACTGAATACACTCCAAATTTTGGACCAATTATAAGAATATAGTAAAAACAATAAGACTAGAGTTAAATATCCCTACCTATTAGACCGTCACAATTCCTTTTTTTGTATATTTCAGACTTTAATATCTATTCTGAAAACAACATGATAAAGATATGGTATTTCATAATGTAAGTATATAGTTTTTGTTACAAAAGTATGACCGAGAATCTCTCTTACAATTAAATTGTTCAGAATAAGAATTTATGCAGTAAATAAATTATTGGTATTATTATTTACATACAATAAAAATATACTCCATAAACTTTCAATATGAGTGGTCTAAAAAATTCTCTAATTAANNAAAGAAAGAGAGACTAATCAAAGCTTGGAGTTTGTTGAAATGTGAGAATCAAAAGGCTGATCCCCGACTTGCAATCGACACCCAACTTGGTGTACAAAACAATGCCTACTTGCTATATTTATAATTACTCTTTAATTTCCTTTCAGCCTTTTTTCAATTATTTATGTAAAGAAAATGCATGATAAAAAGGGGATAATTTGCAAGTGGGCAAGCAGGCTTTTAATTCATTCGTGATCCATCTCTTCCTCATTGTACTAATTTATGGCTGTGCAACTCATACCGTTTGAAAATTCAAATTTTATATATTTTTCAATAGTTTTATTATAAAAAAAAAAAATGCTCTTCCTTTTTGTTTCCATTAGTCTAATTTGTAACCATTGACTGAAAAAAAATGCTGTGGTTGAATATTTGGTATGTCCGTAAATATTTACTAGTTATTGTGATTATTTTTTTAATTCATTTCAATATAAAACATTGAATTCCCTCAACTCATTTGTAGCTCTACAATTCAATATAAGTACGTGATTTTTTTGACATTATTGTGGCTAAGCTCGGTGCTTAGCTATAAGTTTGCTTTTCTGGTCGATTGTTATCTTCTCCAACATTTGTCAAGTAATAATTAATGCATCATTATGAAACATGTTAAAATATCTTATGTATTATGTATTCCTATTATCTGATAATTCCACCATACGTCCATGCCAGCAATTTAATTCGATTGTTATGTACTTTGACCAAAAATGATGCAAATGTCAACTTTTTTAAAATATTTGATGCCCCAAATTAAAGAATTAAAAATGGAACATGACTATTATTTTTCTGTTTGTCTTGAATCCTGCAGTATATAAATAATGAGTTTCCTACAATGTGAGAATGAAAATATTCATTGTATCTTTTTTTTTTTTNTGTATCTCGTTAAAAATAAGGCTGCAACTGAATTCTACTCAAACTTTTCAGAAGTTTTCACATGTTGTGTAAAGAAGCAGGACAACTCCCACAAAAGAATCTCTATCTTTAATTATTCTTATTCTTTTAGGGTTTAACCAATCTATACTTATATAATAAGAATTACTCCTCCTTTTCATAATAAGTGTCGTTTTGGGAAGTTGCACACTAATTAAGAATATTTTTTTTGTCAATTATAACTCTCATTAATGAAGATAGAGATAGATGTTTTAAAAAAAAGATGAAGAGAATATGAAAAGCCATAGTGTATTTATTAACTAAATGAGGGTAATAATGAAAAAATATGGACAAAAGATCCAAAACGACATTTATTTTGGTTAATAGTTGATAAAGCCAAAATGACATTTAAAAAGAATAGGAGGTAGTAACATTTATTCAAAATAGTAGGTCAAATTATGGTCAATGTCGGATTTGCATTAAATATTTTCCAAAACTGGTAAGTTTTTGTCCTTTTCACGCTTCTCATTAATTATGTTCTTTTCACACTTCTCATTAATTATGTTCTTTTCACACTTCTCATTAATTATGTCCTTTTCACACTTCTAATTATGTCCTTTTCACACATCTAATTAATTCATTAATTACGACATAATTATCATAAATCATTCCACCTGAACTTTTTATCGTTAAAATGTATAGCGATCTGTTATGATCTTATCCCATTGATATTTCCATGAAGCGTCCTTATCGCGTTCTATTTTTTGGTAACCACTCTATATCAATAACCGGATATTTGGTTAATGATAGCACACGCCTTTATTTCAAAGAGCGGATATTCTTTGAGCTTTAATTAATCTGAACTGATTGCCTTGACTTTTCAATTTTTAAAAACTCTTTTTTTAAATATTTCGGCTTAAGATTTGGATTTCATTATACAAGTCACCGGATTGTTTGAATGAAAATGAATGAAAAAAACACCAAAAACAGGTAGCCTTATTCATATAACTAATCCTAAAATATTAGTTTGTTCACCAAAAAGAGACAAATCCTAGAAATCCTAAAATATTAGTTTGTTCACAAATCCTAAAATATTAGTTTGTTCACCAAAAATATTAGTTTGGTTTTTAGGATTTGTCTCTTTTGAAAATATTAGTTTGTGATAATGAAGAGTTACCAAATAATCAAACGCATAATGTTGTGTATAAGGAGGTTTTTAATAATATATGATTGTTACCGAACTTTTTATGATTCAACAATGTTCCAATGTATTTTAATGATTTCAATTTCGATACTAATGCACGTGAGATTATATTATTCTTCCAAATTTTACATCTCGTGTATCGCACGGGTTACGTACTAATATATATAATCTTATTTAGCTAAACATTTCAACATCAATTTCCAAAAAGTCTGCCACTGGGTAATAACTCCCAAATTTCAATTTGCAGAGGTGGATATAGACAGTGGCCTATGGCTATAGGATTTTGTATAAT